CGTCCTCCCGCCCACTCGCTACGGGAAGGCCAACCGGTAAGAGGGGAGAGGCCTTCAAGAGCGGCCCCAGACCCTGACACGCTGCTAGCGCCCCCTGTCGTCCAGGAGGAAACATTGCAGCCGCTGCTCTGGGCGCTCGCCAGGACCACCTGTCAGACGGAATTAGGAAGTGCTAAACCCTAAAGCGCCACGAAATCACATGCTTTAAATGACAGCATGTTCTTTCGTACCCTTCGAGTCACTCCTACTGTGAGAGACCCCCCTCAACTTCGGTACACACGATCCTTGTATACCGCACTGCGATGCAGCCTTGAAGGCTGCAAAGACCCCTGCAAGCGGTAAATGGCACAACTATGTCCCAGTTCTGATTCTCCCAGCTAGCTACTCCACTCGCAGCACGTGGAGTCGTCACGTGTGAACGCAAAGCAAAGGGTGCCCTGACAATTCTTCACCGTAACAATAAAAGTAAATTCTTCACTGTAATAATAAAAGTAGATTCTAACGTTTCCCCTATCAGTCCCAGCTCTCAATCTGCACTCTCAAAACATTGTGCCCTGTACTTTGGCCTTAGTAAGAGCCAACCTTCTCTTGGAAATGGGGTAAGTACTTCAGCTTATTTTCGCTGCATGTTTCCCTAATTTATTTGTGCTGCGAGCTGATTGGAGGATTCATATTCTTTGTAGTCATCCCTACAGGACAACGTCTTAATATTTGATGAATTCTTAAAAATAAAAAAAAAAAATATATATATATTTGATGAATTCTTGCATAATCACTCCTTCCCCCTACCCACCCCACACACCTGTTTACAAAATGTGATATTCCCCTTACCGCTCTCTCTGCCAAAGTAACTGCTTTTTCATTATATCATCAAAACAATCTCAGACATTACATCTGAAGACTAAAGCTGACAAATAATGTGTGTTTAGAAATCTCTGCCACTTTCTTCCTCTCCACTTCACAAAACTTACTTTTGCATAGAAATAAGCTCCCGTTTTGCAGTGCCTCGAAGTCTGTCAAAACCACAGTAACCTACACTTGATTCAGGACATCAAAGTATCACCAGTTCTGTGGTTCCCAACTTCTTCAAAAGCAGTGCCACATTTGACTAATGTTAGCTTGGGGACTCTGTGTTTTAAAGTACTTCTTACTAAGCACATTTCGTATGTTAATAACTTATTTCCCATTTTTTAGTTAATTAAAAAACGACTATATCCAAGTTCCCTTTTCCATGTCTGAATGCAAAGCAAAGGTTGCAATGACAATTCCTGGGTCACTGTGACAATGAAAGTCATTGTCAACCTTTTCTGTATCAGTAGCATAGAAAACCCAAAGAGCAGTCACAGAGCTGTGTTTCCAGGTGAATGGGAAAAAACGTGACTTTTTGTAAGCCTGGCTGGTCTTCTTATGGTGTATGTAAGGCTCTTATTATTAAACTTTTAGAAGTATTTTAAACATCTCTTATGCTCAAAGGTCAAGTTTGTGGTTTTTTCCCTATGACAAAAATAATCAGGCGAATCCACCTAGCACACACCTATCAAAGGGTATAAGAAATTTTTTTGGGGGGGTATAAGAAATTTTATGGTAGAAGAAGGTTTGGACTCAGAAAGGCCCAACAACAATATCTAGCATGCTGAATCAAGGAGAGTAGCATATATATATGCGCTTAGCACAGCATGCCTGATTTTGCTGCTGTTCCACCTACCTTAACCCCCCTCCCCTCCATTCCCAGTTGCTAAAAACCTGGAATTGGGTTGTGGAGATTTAAGAGTAGGTAAGCGACCGGAGTTGTTTTTTTTTCTTAATTGTACCTTTTATTTCACTTGCTTCAGTTATTCACAAGAAAGGCCCGATGATCTGTTCTCATGAACATAAAAATCAAGTTTCTGTAGCACTGACTCTGCCCTGTGGGGACCCTATGTTTTACAGAGTCTGTGAGGTTTGCTTGGATGTAACCCTTCTAGAAAGGAGCCCTGGTGGTGCTATTGGGCAAGCATTGGACTGCTAACCACAAGATTGGTGGTTCAAAGCCACTGGTAAACGTGAGGCTGTCTGCTCTCATCGAGATTCACAGGCTCAGAAGCCCTATGGCTGGTGTGTTAGCCTGGGTACTTTAGAGAAACAAATCCACAGAAACTCATGTATAAGAGAGAGTTTTATATAAAGGGTAAGTGCACATCAAGAAAGCATCCCAACCCAGTGCTCCCCAAACCCACAAGTCCAACATTAACCCATATGTCCAACACCAATCCACAAAGCCCTCCTCCATCTCACAAAACACACACTATGAAGCCAACTGCAGGAGGAAAGCCGAATCAGTGAACGTGTAAGCATCTCAGCACTGGCAGGGGTCTCCACCGGGCTGCTCCAGCACCCAGCACATAAGGGTAGGTCCATGCAGCTTCTCCTTGGGGATGTCTTGCAGGAAGTGAGATTTGCCAGCTGAAGCAGGGAACTGGCTAAGGCAGCTGCACCCTGGTCCGACCATCACAAAGCAAGAGACCCAAAAGCTTGAAAGGCCCGGCTCACTGAGCCATTTATTCCTCCGCCCTTCAATTCACCCCACATGTGTTTCTCGGCCAGGTTGGCGCAATAAACTAACTATATCAGCTGGGAATCAACTGCATGATGTGGGCAGGCAGTCTTTCTGAAGTCGTTCACGAGGTTTTCTCATGGTGCCACAGGGTAAGGGTGAGCAGCCAACCTTGAGGGTAGTGTTGTTGTGGAGTTGTCTTCCAGGCGATTCTGATTCCTACCATCCATGTGACAGAGTGAAACTGGGCCTTAGGGTCTTTTTATGGAGCCAATCTCCAGGCCTTTCTCCCTCCACCACTGGCTTGGTTTGAACTGCTGCCAGCCTTCAGTTAGCACTTGAACTCTTAACCATTTTGCCTCCAACCTTCTTTTTCTTTGACTAGCCGAGCACAAAATGTTTGCACCACCCCGGGTTCCTTCCTATCAAAATTGCAGCTGTGCTCACTTGGGCAGCTCATGTACTAAAATTGGAACCACACAGAGAAGATTAGCATGCTCCTGTCTAAGGATGACGTTCGAATTCACAAAATGTTACCTTTTCCCACCCCTTTAAGCAAGGGCGAATGGGGGGAATGAGCTAGTAACAGTGAGTACAAAAATGAAAACAATGTTCTAAATTTATGGTGATTATGATTACATGACGCTTTTTAACATATTCAAACCAGTGCATTATTTTAAAAAAACCCAAGGTAATCCTATCCTATGGACCAGTTCTACTCTCTCACACATGAGTCAGAATTGACTTGAAGGCTTGTTTTTGTCTTCTGTCTGTTTCTAGTCATGCCCTGAGTCTCTGGGCCTCCTGCTCTTGTAGAGAGGAATGCTGGGCTAAATTCTTAATTTCACAAAAGAAAATAGATGCGTTTAGAGTGTGAGCACATCTTGCATTCCAAGTATTGCTTGAACAGACAACCAAAATCCCAAATATATACAGTCCTCTCCACCACCAGTATATCGGAGTTCCCCTTTTTCTCCCCGAAAACTGAAGCTTCAGCTCAAATCCTTGTAGCTCTGAAGAGAACTCGCTCCAATAGCTCATTAAGAAATCCTAGCCGTTGTATTGAGAACATCCAGATTTGTCCAAATGCTGAGGGCCTCGGGGTGTCAGAGCAATCATCCAGCTTCCAAAGGGGAAAACAGGAGTGAGACATTCTGGGTAAGGAGAATGAGAGGTAAACTGAGGCACAGGATGAGTGAGAGGTAAACTGAGGCACAGGGAGACTGACAAAGATAACTGACAGGACAAAGGGAGAGCAGAAACAGAAATAGCTTTATTAGGGGGGAGCTCCCGGGCGAAGCCCCTTGGTCTAGCAAGTAGCTCAGGGGAATCAGGGGCTTTGTCTGGGGCCCGGGGTTTTTAAAGAAAAGCAGGGAGGGGGCGGGGTCTGTGCTGCAGCAGCAAGGTTTATGGCCCAGGACGTAGTTGATCAGCTCCTGCAGGCAGGCCAACTGGTTAGCAGGGAGTCAGGCATTCCGGGGATTGTTTTTCTGCCTCTTTATTCCAGGGGGGCAGCTGCTGACCTTGGGAGATGTGCAGAGAAGGGGGCCCTGACCTGCTTCAGCTCAGTCCAAACAGAGAAGTCAGTCTACACACACACACACACACAACAACAACCTGAGACACCCACAGGACAACAAACATGGAGACAAGCCAAGAAATCGGAAGTTTGGGAACTATCCAAGAAGTTTATCAGCCAGTTACAAGGGCTGGAGTTAAAATCTCAATCCTGCGTCATGAGAGGCACCGATTAATTTAATCATATACTCATAGAGGACCAGGCACTTGTGAGGACCCCTGATTGTGCACTGGGCTGCTAACCAGGAGGTCAGGTGTATGAAACCACCTGTCACTCTGGGAGAAAAGACAAAGCTTCCTACTCCTCTAACTACCCATAGGGGCAGTTCTACCCTGTCTTGTAGGGTGCTATAGAATCAGCTTGATGACAATGAGTTTGTTTTGTTTTTTGTTTATGAAGACAAAATGGTGAGCAAATGGGTGTCCTTACCTTCATACAGTTTGCAGAGCAAAAATATTTCCTGAGCACCTAATATGGCTCAGAGACTATGTTTGACGCTGGGGATATAGCTTTTGTCTAGAATACAGCGGTTCAGCTGCTTCATTTACATCACAAATTGTGGGATACAAAAAGGCTTTTCTCTAGTTTGTCTCCCCCAAATAGATATCAGTCCTAGGGCGCTCCTTGCAACACATGATAAATGATTGTATCACACTGGGAAGCAAGCTGCTTAGAAGTCATCTACCTGAAGATATCAGCCATCTAGAGCAATCAGACACTACTGTTTATCCTACCATAAGTGGGGCTCACATCCTACTGATAAGGGTAGTGATTGTCACCCTGCGAATCCAGAGTAAAGGTCAAGCCTACTCAAGGACAACTAAGGTTAGGCTGCCATCTTGAATCTAAGATCCGCCCATCTTGTCACATGTGTGCCCCTAATTCTTCCTCTTCCTATTGCATGTACACCCCTAGCTCACACCCCTCCCATTGCTGTATTGCCAATGATACAACCCCTTCCTGTGACATAGGTGGTTACCTGTAATCAGGGGGCCCTGCACGTCCCTAAGTATATATAAGCCTTGGTCAGAAATATACACTCTCTCCTCTCTCTCCTCTCTTCTCCCACCTCCATGTGGACCACCAAGAGGGGCTGAGGTGAGCATGCTACCATAAAATGTATCTGACTCCTTTATCTTCTCTCCTAGCTCTTATTCTCTATGACTTTACTATAATCTTTATATATTATTGTCATTCAATTGCACCTACAGACCCGTGATATTGTCAGAGGCTCCTTACTCTGACAACGAATAAGCATAGAATTCAAGAATTCAAACATAGAATTCATTCGTTCTTTTTTAATTCTTATTCGTTATTTTTAGAGGCTAGATTTCATACAATATAGATGGGACAAGATCTAACGTTGCCAGATAAAACACCAACCAAATCCAAAACTACTGCCATTAAATAGATTCTGATTCATAGTGATCCTATAGGACAGAATAATCTTTAAAAAAAAAAGACAATAAAACTGACCCATAGGGTTTCCAAGGCTGTGAATTTTAATAGGTTTTCAGATCCACCTTGGAGGAGGACAAACAGAATGCTCTATAGAGGTAAGGGTGGTTGAGAGGTTGGAGACGGAGGCGCAGAAGGAGAGAAGGCTTAGTCAAGAATGAGCAGTGAGGTTGTATTAAGGCGAGGGAAAACTCCTGAATGAGTTGCGAAACCCAATGAGTTAGTCAGGAAGTCACAGCTTGTCGGTGAGGCAGTGAGATATCTATATAGGGCTCGAAATAAGGAGGTATACGTTGACAGAAGGAAGGGAGAGTTTTATTGTTTGCAGCTGCAGGGCCTTGATTCAGAATGTGACAGGTGGGAAGTCATCTTGTTTTTTGCAAGCCTGCTCTCTGGAGCGCTGGGAAAGGGGCTATACAAACCACCCTGAAGAGATAAGCTCTCTGGAGCACTGGGAAAGGTGCTATACAGACCGGCCTGAGAAGATAGATTGCTTCCTGGGGTACTGGGGAAGGGGCCACACAAACCCGGACTGGAGAGATAAGCTCTTTGGGGTGTTGGGGCAGGAGTTGCATAGTTCAATCAGTCAGCCATCTTCCCGAGAGGCTGGGAATGGAGCCTTTGAGTTCCCTTCTTCCTGAGGAGCCCGAGAGGAGGTGGGGTCTGCCCGGTCCGGACCTGGCCCCAACAATGGTGACACTTCGTTTTACATCCTTTGGACTTGTTGTCAGGAGAGACCAGTCCTTGGAGAGGGACATCATGTTTGGTAAAGTGTAGGAGCCGTGAAAAAGGAAGGTCCTCAAGGAGATGGCTTGACACAGTGGCTGCAGCAATGATGGGCTCAAACATAAGAACAATTGTGAGGAGGCCGCAGGACTGGGTGGTGTTTCGTTCTGCTGTGAGTGGGAACAACTTGATGGCACCTAACAACACCAACAAATCTCTATAGAAGCACACTTTTTGGGGGATCTTAGAGAATTTTATTATTTATTTATTTTTAAAAGATCATTTTATTGGGGGGACTCTTACAACTCTTATTACAATCCATACGTCAGTTGTATCAGGCATATTTGTACATATGTTGCCATCGTTCTTTTCAAGACATATACTTTCTATTGAGCCCTTGGTATCAGCTCCTCTCCCCACCCTCACCCCTTCACCCTGCCCCAGCCAGCTCTTTCTCCCACAGAACAATTGGTGAGTTTGAATGACTATCCTTTTGGCTAGTGTACTTTTTAACCACTTCTCTACAAGAGCTATTAGATCAAATGTAACTCGAAAAATCCATTGCCATCAAGTCGATTCTGGCTCATATCAACCCCGAAGGCCAGAGTATAACTGGCCCTGTCAATTTCCAAGGCTATAAATCTTTACAAGAGCAGAAAGCCTCATCATTCTCCCTCAGTATAGCTGGTGGGTTTGAACTGCTGATAGTGTGGTTAGCAGTACAACACTTACCCAATAGTGCCACCAGAGCTCTAGGTGTTGCCCTAGGAAGTGAGAAAATAATAGAATTTAGTACTCACAGGTCCCAGAGAGGAAACTACAGCATGACTTTAGGCTGGGTCATCAGTCAAGGTCACACAAGGGGTTGCACCTGGAATAAGGTAACAGCAACTGGAAACAAAGAAGCATTGTTAAACAGGACGGGGCCTCAGGGATATCTTATTAATCAGTTTAAAGGTTTCCAGTGGATTAGCTGGGGGGGGGGGGAAGGGAGAGAATTTAATCATGGGACCCATATGGGGCATGACTAGGAGGGGCAAGGAGTAAGCAGGGCGGATGAGAGACCGGATTGCAGGAAAGGAACGGGGTCTCGATCATGAGAAACCATGGGGGGGCATGGCTGGGAGAGCTAGTATAAGCTCCTGCTGAGTGTGTGGCATGATAGGAAAAGCCATGTCAGAAACCGAGTGAAAGGGCAACTAGGAAGTAAAGCATGCCACAGCAACAACTACGTAAGCCACCAATGGGCCTTGTAACGCTGATGGACAACAAACACACATACTGTTTGATGACTTCGGACCATTTCTTTCTTTTTTAATCATTTTACTGGGGGCTCATACAGCTCTTATCACAATACATATATCCATTGTGTCAAGCACATTTGTACATTTGTTGCCATCATCATTTCCAAAACATTTTCTTTCTACTTGAGCCCTTGGTATCAGCTCCTCATATTTTTTTCTCCTCCCTCAGGAACACTTGATAATTTATAAATTATTTTTTCATATCTTACACTAACCAATGTCTCCTTTCACGCACTTTTCTGTTGTCCATCCCCTTAGGAGGAGATTATATGTAGATCATTGTGATTGGTGCCCTCTTTCTCTGCCCGCCTTACTTTTACTCTCCTGGTATCACTACTCTCATTATTGGTCCTGAGGGGTCCATCTGTCCTGCATTCCCTGTATTATGAG